ATTTAGGTGTCAAGACTCAAACTAAAATTGTGGCATATAATAAGCAGGATGTTTTGGGGGAAAAAATGAGTATCCAAAAAAACTGAAAGTCTCTAGTGTTAGAGGTTCTTCAAATTAGCCTCTGGCTATGAATTATATATATATATGTATATATAATTCATATATATATTATATTATAATTATTATTATAACATATTATAATTTTAACCAGGAAAGGCTAAAGTACAACACAGATTCTTGAAATTGGTAGGTGCTGGGTCATGTCTTCTCTTTGCTCCGCATCTGGATCGGGAACATTTAATCACTATTCTGCAGACACTGTGAGGTAGTGCCTATGTAGCTCTCACCCTACTTGTCCAAAATCAACTGGTTTGAGGAGATGAGAAGAGGTAAATAGAAAACCAGTCTGTCAGGTATTAATGGGACCAAGGGTCCCATGGTCAATTTTGAAACACACTGAAATCTTTATCCTTCTTGGAGAGCATGCAGTTGATTACTATTGCAACTGTTCTGGCAAAAGGCCTCCGTGGACTTCCACATTACATGAAAACGAATTTGTCTCACCTTTAGCGTCTTGCTGCATTGAGCACCATTGATCATTTCCTCCTCCTCCCCTCTCCAACCAGGCCTTTTAAAATGTGTCTTCATTGTTTTTTTCCCCTTATGTTTACTAAAGAAATACATGTCAGTACAGACTGTTCAAATATTACATAAATATATAAAATAAGAAAAAAGTCCCCTATTATACCATCTCTTAGAGACATACAGTTAACGCTTTTGTATATATTCTTATATATACTGTATGCTTATTCCTCTCATCTTCCTCCTCCTAGTTGAAACAAAAATGGGATTATAGTATGCCTCTGGTTTGCAATTTTCTTATTTCATCTAACATTATCAAGGCTACTTCTCCATGTCAGTAAATAATCAACTCCAGAATTGTCTAGTATTCCATCATTTGGAGAAGGGTCCAGCTAGCCAAGCCCATCCATGGACAGTTCTCCAACTGTGCTTGCCGTTTCAAAAATCACTCCTGCTATTGATGCTCTTTTGGATTTCTTTTTTTTTTTTTACAGTCATATCATCTGCAAATAATTATAACTTCTTTCTTTTCCAATATTTATACTTTTTATTTTCCTATCTTTTAAAACTGCCATATCTGGAATTTTTATAATAATATTAAATACTGGTGATGATTTTTAGAATCCTTGTTTTGTTCCTTACTTTCATAGGAATTCCTCTGTGAGGAATTTTATTGTTCTATTTAACTCTATTCAATGTTGTACCATTAAAGAAGACTATGGTTCAGGTTTGAAACACAACACACGTACACACTCACCATGTGAAGATTATATTTCTTCATACTTTACTAAGGACTTTATCAGAATTGTAGTAGGGTTTTATTAAATTATTTATTAGAATTTATTAACATGAGCATGTGTCTTATTTGACCTGTTAATATGATACATTGAAATAATAGATTTCTCAATAGTGAACACGCTTTGCATTCAAGGAACTAGCTCCACTTTGCCAGGGTATGGTTTCCTTTTAATACACTGATGGATTATATTCAGTGTTTTTAAAAGATACATTTCATTTATTTATCTATATATGTAAAACTGGTCTCTTCTCATTTTGCACAATTATAGTCAGGTTTTTTATTAATACTATGCTGGCCTCATATAGGAAAGAGTAAACTTTTCTCTTTGGGCCCTGAAGTGGCTCAAAATGAAATATTCCTTGACATCAGGCTGAGCATGCCTATTGTTTATATGTTTATGTGTGTGATTTTCTTGGAGGAAAGGGAAGATTAAACAAGATAGCATTCACAGTTTTCTGTTCTTGTTTCTCATTTCTTCTGGAAAAAGTTTAGTTATTTGTATCTTCTGATAATTTCTTCACTCAGATTTTACAGTTACCTGCCTTATAAATAAATCTGTGCCTGTGGTTATTTTTTCTTTTTCACCTCTAATTCTCTGTATTTGTGCTTTTGTGATCGTGATGCTGAGGAAAAGAGCATCCTCTCCTGGACACCCCATTTGTCCTTTGGTAGAATGGGAAAAGTGGCAGAGACCTGCACCTGTGGGATTGAGGCAGGAACTCAAACACAGGCTAGTAGCAGCTGGTGTTGAGGTGATACTCCACCTCTGTGAGGCTGCCAGGGCTTTGGCATGACTGCCAGGCATACTGGTGCCAGCAGTAAAACTGGTCTTTTGTGACTGAGGTGGAGACTCAAAAGTTACTGTAATTATAAAATAATTAGAAATATTTGTTGTCTCATGCTGATGAGGTCATGGCATTTGAGTAAAATAAGCCTCTTCTATTTTACATTCCCCCCCCCCTTTTATAGGCTCTTCTATTCTGCTTGCCCCTAAAAGGGAGCGTTTTCCAGCGTTTCATATCATTCACCTTCCCAGCAGTGAGAAATCTCATTCTGGAATATATAACCAGTTCTTCACTGGGTGTGTTCTCCTGATGCCAAATAGGCACCACAAATTCAACATGTCCGCAATTGAGTTAATCACCCTCCACGTGTGTCATCTGTGGCTATATTTTCTATATTCATTTGTTGCCACTATTCACTTGCATTCAATCTCAGAGCCTTAGAGTCCACCTAAATTCTTTGGCTTTCTTCACCCTTCACGTGAAATACCAAATACTGCTTGTTCACTTAATTTTTCCCTCATTTTTCTAATACCTTCCTCCCTCTCCACACTTACCTCAAATATCCTAGCGCAGGCTCTCATCATCTCCTTCTTGGATTTTCTTCAGTGACATGTGATGCATTGAATACAAGAGAAACCAGGGTGCAATAAACCAGGAAACGCTACTAGCTCCAGCTAAGCATTTAAGAAATGTAGTCTTTTATAATCCATCTGCAGATATGTGAACCTGAACTGTAGGTGTTCGCTGCCTTTGGTTTGACAGTATTTTTATTGCTTGCCCTCATTTCCTCATATTCTTGATCTTTGTTTCAGAACCTACTTGGTACTCTGACCACAAATCTAGTTAACTCAGCCACAGTGGCTTAGAAACAAAGGATCAAGATCAAGTGGATATCTGATTGGCAAAGAGCACAGAATTTGATGATACACTGTTGGCAAGAGTGTGGTAAAGCAGGCTTGCATACATTACTTATGGGAGGTTAAGTTGATAGGACCTCTTTGGAGGGTAATTTGGCAATGGCTATTAAATATAAAATTGACCCAGCAATTTCATTTCTAGGAATTTATCCCTGCAGATACACTTACACATGTGCATAAAGATGTATGCACCTAAGTAATCATTGCAGAACAGTTCATAGTAACAGAAAATAAGAACCAATATAAATGCTCATCAAAAGTGTAATGAAGAAATAAAATATGTTCCAGCCATATTTTAGGGAATAATATACAATTAAAATGAATTAGGTAGATATGTATGAGAAAGACTCTAAGGTTTTGTGATAAAAAAGGCACAGGTATGTAAAACATGTGCTACCATTTGTGTAAAAGTTGCATACACACATACATATGTGTTTATATATGTATAGACTATCTCTAAATGGATAGACACACAAGATGTACTGCCTTTGAGCTATGGGCAGATCAGGGAACTTGGGGTATGACACTCACTTTTCACTATACACCTTTTATAAAGTATGATTCTTTTTTCATATGCAAGTATTACTTAAGTTAAAATAAAACAAAACAAAAATAGAGACCAAGTGGGAAGTCTTGATAGATGTAGTTTAAAATATATGAAATATCTGCATATGTAAAATGGCATACATCTATGCCTTTTCCTCACATGGGAAGTAACATATACATATACACAAATATACAGTATATGTGAGTAGGTGGTTATAAGCACAATATGTATGTTTGTGTAAATGAAAAACAGTGTGTTAAATCATCTTAAAAGCACAAGACCCCTAACTGTCCTAACCTGTAGCAAGTATATTTAGATAAGGTATTGAAGATGTCATTGAATGTTTTAACCCATAATAGAATAAGTTTGCTGTTCAAAAACAAATGTACAGAGTACTGTATGCATAGGTGATATTTCAGCTTCAGTTTCTCTCCTGGAAGATTTTGACTTTGATAAATATATTCCTAGAAGGACAATTAAGAAAAAGTAAAGTGTATGTTTAAGCATTCAAAAACTTTAGCCTAGCACTTAATTACTAAAATGCTGAATATGTTTTATTTTTTTTTCCTGCAATACATCATATACTCAATCCAGATAGAAGACTTATCCAGGTATACAATAAAAAATTGTCAACACCTGCATTGAGCACAACAGTCAGCCTTTCTCTGTAAATGGCTGCCTGGATAGTGTTACCTGAAATGTAAAGAAATGTTTACCCCAAAAAGTACCTCCCTGATTGTCCTGCCACATATAGGCCAGTTTCGATTAGCTCTTAAAATCTGTAGCATAAATGCTACCCAAGGAAGCAGGTCATAATATAGCAGATTTAAACAAGAAGGCTGAGGGCCTGGGGGTACCGATGCTAAATTTCTACTAAATAATCAAAACTGTGATTAATAGGATGAACATCATTGTAAGATTTCTTAACAAAGAGAACATATTTTAAAGTATTTTATACACCAACAATATACAAACAACAAACACTGAGTTTCCAACCTCCAAATGAAACATACCCCAAATGGTGGCAATCTAGAACTTGAAATGCATTTTCTAATTGGAGCAGGGCTATAAACCTGCTCTGTTACATGATGGGTTGTTCCTCAGACCAGCCCAAAAGACACTTTTTAGCACACATTTTCCAGAAATACATCTGAAATGTGTAAAAGACCTGAACATACTGTTGAACTATTGATAAAACTAAAGTACTAAATTGTTGTCGGAACCATGACTACATCAGCCAAGAGAAACAGCATATGTGAATCACTCAGAGAGAACACAGTTAAGGATTAGTCAAAATTCTTTGTAAGAGAGGCAAAAAAAAAAAAAAATGGTGCTATTGGAGGAGGTGCAGAAAAATCTGAAAGCCAAGTTTTGATTGCCCAAGAGACCACTTTTGCCTTCTGTTTCTTTCTCTCTCTTTGCCTAATACACTGAGCAGAGGTAAGTTGGGCCCTTTCCACCTGGAAGATAAAAGCCACACAGAGTAAAAGCACAAACACAGAGTGAAGGAGGAAAGCAAGAGGGGACTGGAAGGTGTATCTGGGCACTTTGAGGACACGGAGGCCATCCTTAGCTCCAGAGGCCGGCATAGTTCCCGTGGAGGCCAGAAGGGAGAGGCCCCCCAGCGACGAAGAGCTTCATCTCGGGCCAGTTGTAGCAGTGCGTGTAGAGCGCGTTGGGGAACTCGCCGATGCCACCGAAGTAGTTCACCCACAGGTCATCGTGGTTGAGCCAGCCTCTGCCACAGGTGAGCTTGAGCTTCCTCCCTGCGGGCCCCGGAGAGAAGTGCGGGCTGGCCGAGGCCCTCTCCTCCAGGAACCTCTGCGCGCGGATGTCATAGAAGAGCAGGGAGCCGTGGCCCGTGCCCACGGTGACGATGTGCTGGTAGAAGCTCAGGGAGCGCACACCCGTGCCGCCCTCTCGGGAGCACAGGGGCCGGATGTTCTGCTGGCGCTGCCGCGGATCCAGGAAGGAGACGTGGGACTGGGAGCCCACCGCGTACAGGGACAACTCGTCGCAGTAGGTCAGGCACACGTTCTCTCGGCAGTAGGGCAGCCTGATGGACAGCAGCCTGGACAGGTTGCTCTGGGCTTTCCACAGGTGGAAGTAGCCGTCCAGGGACACGGCTCCCAGCTCCTGGTTCTTGCCGCTGAAGGCCAGGGCCCGCACCTTGCGGTTACTGGGGTTGGTGCTGGCCCTGGGGATGGTCTCCACGTCCCTGGGACGGATGTGGGCGTACACGGGGAGGCCCGCGTCGTTGTGCCAGGCGATGCTGCCGTGGAACATGTCGGGGTCCATCTTCCAGAGCGCCACGGTGCCGTCGCGGGAGCCGCTCACGGCCACCGTGTCGCTCATCCAGGCGATGGCGAAGATCCAGTCCTTGTGGCCGTGGCGGTCGCCCAGGCACACGGGGTCCAGCGTGGGCAGCTGGTAGACGGCCAGGCTGTTGGGGTTCTCGCCCCCGGTGGCCAGAAGCGTCTTGGAGGGATTCAGCTGGATGGCGTGGATGCCGCAGCTCGGCTGGGCGCGGGCCGACCCGGGCCCGCGGTCCCGCATCAGGGGGATGCGCGTGATCTGGCCCGACTGCACGTCCACCACGAAGAGCGTGTTGCACTTGGTGCCGCACACCACCTGCCTGGCGTTCAGCCACTGCGACGCGAACACCTTGTTGAGGGTGCCCAGCGCCAGCTCGCGCTCCCTCAGCAGCTCGGGCAGCTTCTGCACCGCGTAGCCGCGCAGCTTGCCCTCGAAGTCCGGGAGCCCGGCGCGGCCCCGCGCCCCCACCTCGCGGCCCTTCAGGTAGTGCAGCAGCGAGCGCAGCGCCGCCGGCCGCTTGGGCTTCTTGGGAGGCAGCGGCCCGTCCCCATCCGCAGCCGCCGCCGAGCCCAGCGACGACGCCGCGAGCGCCGGCGCTTTCCGCTTCCTGCTACCTGTTTGCCTCGGGGCCATGGTGGGCGGCGGGCGAGTGGCGGCGGCGGGGACGGCTGCGTCGGCCGGCGGCCGGGGCGTCCGCGGGGCGCGGAGCCAACAGAGTCCGGGGCGCGGCGGCGACGGAGGCGAGGGCGGCCGGGCCGGACGAGGAGAGGTGGCCGGGGGGAGCGGAGCGCAGGCGGCGCGCGGCGGCTAGGGTGGCGGCGGCGCGAATCGAAGCGAGGGCGAGAAGCGCGGCCGGCGGCGCGGCGGGAGCGAAGTCGGTGTGGGACGAGGACGACGCGGGGGGCGAGTGTGAGGGGGCGGAGGCGGCGGGGGGAGCGGGCCTGGGGTGCCGGATAGCACACGCCGGACTGGGAGGGGTGGGATAGGTGCGGGAGCGAGGGGGGAAAGTGGAGCCCGCGAGGAGGGGGAGACTCACCCAGGACCAGCGCTTCGGGATTCCCAAGGCTTCTCCGCGTGGACACATCTAGTGCGCCTGCCCATGCCCCCTGATATCCTACTTGGGGAGTTTCACTACCCTCTGGACAGCAACCAAGTAGCCTTCTTAAAATCCTTAAATAATTCTGAAAGCTAAAATACAGTCAAGTATGAGGCTAGAAGGAGCGCTGAAGTTATCTGTCAAAGAAACAAATGTGCCCTTGGTGCAATTTCGGGAGACTCTTTGCTGCAATTAGATAGTGAACTTGACCAGGGATGGTAGTGTTTGGCAGAGGCAAAGAGGCCCTCCCCATTAGGTCTCGCCTGCAGCCCCTCCTGTCTCAGCCCCTCTACCGGTGTCTGTTAAAATTTTTCAACCTATTTTTTAAACCAGTTTTTCCCTGTATTTCTCAAATTGAGTCCCCTGAGCTCCTGCACCAGAATCTTTGAGGGGTGCATTCCAAATGTAGTCCCCCAGGCTCCACTTCCCGCCGGGGTGGGGTTAGGACCCTGTGGTCAAGAGGGAAGCCTCAGGATCTGAGGGGACGGCACTGAGGATGGGCGTGGGTGTTCAGGGTGTTGACTTCTCTTGAACCTCAGAGCCCTCAGGCGGTGGAGCTGACTGGAAGAGGGCTAGGAGACTGAGGGATACCCCTTTCTCTGCTCTAGGGAGGGAAGGGTCAGTCCTCACTGTCAGTCTCAGGAGAAGCTCGGGGAGCCTGGGCAGAGCCCTGTCATGTGTGAGAGGCCCCCTGGGACGTTGGCGCAGGGCCCTGAGGGATGCACAGGATTTCCAGAATCACATAGTGAAGAACTTTCCAAAAGGATATAACCACATAAACACAGTGGTGAAGAGTAGGAATTCAGAGCACGCGTTTAGCAGTCTAAGGATTTGGACGGTCCATACGTGGCTCTGCAGCTTCAGAGCAGCCGCAGTGGCAAGCCCATATCCAGGCATGCTCAGTTACGCAGTTACAAGTGGCTGGTGGCTGATACCAACTCTGCACACACCCCAATCTTCTGCTATAAAACCGTGTTTGCTCAGTGGGTGCATATGGGGAGGGGAGGTGGATTAACTTTTCTGATCCATCAGTGGAAAGCATGGGAGTTACTTTGTTGCTGCTTTTATGCCCCTTCACCAAGCCCTTTTTGCGACCCCACCTCAAATGCACAAACTCCAAGTACGTAAACCATGGGTCCTTCCCACCACTCCAGTCCAGCTGCGAAGTCCCAGTGCCCACTTCTCCCCCATATTCCTCCCCATGTTTAATGCGATATCAAGATGTGGGTGAGGATGGTGGATAGGGAGTGACCGGACAATGAAAAGAGTGCTGACAACTTCATAATTAGAACTGATGTTACTCGAGAATAACTGACTGCAAATTCCTTTAACTTAACCTACCATGATGTTTTCCTTTTTTTTTTTTAATTCAACCTCAGAAAAATGGATATTATCCAGTAAGACTTCATGGCATATTTTTTACTGTTGTGGTAGAACAAATAGGCTGAACGTTTGGGGAGATAGATAGATAGATAGATAGATAGATAGATAGATAGATAGATACAGACATTTCAATTGTAAAAATAATTCTTATAACAGCTATTATTTATTGAGAGCCTATTTGTGTCATGGGCTGGAGGGCTGTGCTAAACACTTCGAATGCTTTATGTGCATTCAGTCTCACAATAGCTTGGTGACGTAGGTTCTATTTTTATAGCCATAATTTAAAATGAGAGAACTGAGGCCCAGAAAGAGTAATGATGACTCCCCCATGGTCACACAGCTAGTAAATGGTAAAGTCGGGTTGTGAATCCCGGTCTGACTCCAAAGCTTTTAAGACTAACAACTACTCTATATTATTCTATAAATACAATTTTTCTATTTCTGCCTCTTTAAAAACCATGTAAACTACCCCATCATGGAAATTTTACAGGTGTTCCATCTTGTGCATTTTTGAGAGACAGCCACAATTTCTAAAATACATGAATAAATACTGAATGCAAATTATGTAGAACACTTTCCGTAGAATATTTAAAGGCAAAAATACGATCTCTGAAGCACATTTTTTTTACAAATTCTTTTAAATTAATACCTATGAAATGTAATAATATATGCCTACATTTGTTTGGTTTTTGTTTGGTAAAAATAACACCCATATAAATTGTCCTGGTATTATGTCTCCACTTTTTTGATAATATAAATATGCAATATTTATGTATAGTAATGTGTTTGTAGTCAGTGTGCAGATTACTATTTTGTATTGATAAATGAAGTGTGTTAATTTTATCTGGAATACAATACATGAAACGCATTTCATTTCATTTATGTCTGCACTTTCAAATTTCTCTGAGCTTTGTACTTAAAGATGTAAAACTTCCAGACCAGAGCCAAGTTATGTTGAGAGATTTACAGTTTTTTATGTCAACTTACAAATTTGAACCTTTATTTACATTTTATTGCTTCCATTTTTAGGAAAACACAATGTCTGATAATATATAAAGTCATGCACAGTACATTTAGTGTTAAAGCAGTAGATGTAATGGCCTGATGATAAAATTTCAGATGTCTGCATGGCCCTCTGAATGTCAGGGTCTCCATTACTTTTTGTTACCTGTGAAGACCACTGTGTGTATGAGTGTAAACATCTTGTCAGTCCTTACTAATCTATTTGTACATTCATTACTGCTTTGTGCTACTAACATATACCCGGATAAATTTGTATTAGCCTCACCTATCTCCCCTACACGATATTCCCCTCCATTGGATAGGGGCTTTTATGTGTGGTTTCAGGGCACTGTCTTATCCTGTTCTCTAATCACTTAATATGTTTAAATGTTATTTTCTTAATCAGATTGTAAACTCCTCAAGGGGTTAGGTAATGTTTTCTACTTCTTTCACACCATCACATCCTTCTAGATATGCACTAAATGGTTTGTAAAACTTGATTGTCCTGTTGATAAGCTAATAGAAGAAAGGAGAGAAAACAAAATGAAATATCAAAAAATTACAAGTAAGATATTTTGAAATCAAATTACTTAAGGGAGAAAGTGAAGGATTTGAATTGATTTGTAATATTGCCACATAACTTGTTTGAAGTTATATAAATATATATATATATAACTTCAATATAGTTATCTATATTGATCTATATATCTATATCTATTCAAAAAAGTTATGTGGAATTATTATCTATATCAATTTATCTCTCTATATTTATATGTGTTTCTTTTCAGCCTACTGAATAATTTTATCAACTGTGTCTACCTTTCTAATCTATGAATGAAGAAAAGTATCTGTCTAGCCAAAAAATGTTAGATTACCAGTTTAAAATTAGTTAAGGCCGAAGATATTTTACTGTGATATAATGAACATAAACTTGGTTGTTAAATATGACTTAAATTATTTTGAAAATATTACTATTTTTCACTTCAAAACTAAAACAGTCTCAGGACAAAGGCACTGAAAGAGAAAGGCAGGGTAATAAGAAAATTGGAAGGTTAGCAACAAGTCTTTTTGAAGAAGTGATCAATTCTGAAACTTTCTTTTCACATTCTTCTATACAAAAATAGATCTTACAAATACAGGCTTTAGAGATTGGAGCACATTGTCAGGTATAAAGGCATTTGTCTTCAGAAGTGAGGTTTATAATTGTTTCTGATACATTGTATATAGATGTAAAGCAAGGCTATCCTCAAGCATATTTTTGACATCTTGTCTATATTTGTATGTATAGCTTTTCCATTATCTTTATCAACAAGTATAAGGCACTAAATAAAAAAAGAAATATAGTTAATTAAGCTTGTTTGAAAATAATATATGATAATGATACCCTGTTATTTATAACAGGCACAAGGCAAACTATTCTTGAATGATTAAATTGAATACATTTTCACTTAATCTCTGATTATAATACAGCCATAGCATTTCAAGCTGTGACCTTGTCAAGCCTCCTAAGATAAGCAGCTGTGAACCTGGTTTGTAGTCAGATGGGAGGCTTCCTCCAAACCTCATGATGCAGAAACTGGTGGAGATGACTCAGCAGGCTATGTTTCCCCCAACAAAGGCACTACTAAAGGCATATGCTGTCAGATGGGGGAATAACGGAAAGATTTATCACATTATTTCATTTACTAGAAACAGAATTATAGGGAAAGAGGCAATTTTGACTCTATGACCTCTTCCTTGCCCTTTCTCTCTCTATCTTCTCTAAGAGGAAGAAATGTGTCAGAGCCCAAGCTTGGACTTTGTTTATTGAGAGGGTAGATTCGATGCTGGTTATACGTTTTATGGGAGGCACAACAGTGTAGTGGTTAAGAGAGTAGACTTTGAAGCCACATAACATGGTTTGATTCTGTTTCTGTGGTTTTCTGGTCTTGGAACTGGGTCAGTTAGTATACCTTCTTTGGATTTATTCCCTTATCTATAAACATAGGATAATAACACCTATGTCCTGGGGTAGTTTTGATGATTGAATGAGTTAATACATAAAACCCACTAAGAACAGTGTCTGGAAGACTATAAGCTCTTAATAAATTTCTCTTAAACCCTAATGGCTTTCCCTCCTTTCCCTTATTTAACTTTATGAAGACAACTTGGAAGCTGCAGAAAGGGGGTTTTTGAGTGTGAACTGCAGTGCAACACACACTTATACACTAGTACACA